GACAGTATTATTTGTGAAACAAAACCAGCAGCACTTCTGGCCCATGAATAGAGTTGTACACCATTTCCAAGTTAATAGTACTGTTTTGCCATCTAAGTTCACCTTATTGTTTTTTATAGGAAGAACAGGAAATAAAACTAGAGTACAAGCCAGTATCTCATAATTTCATATCATAAATTAATTTGAATGAAATCTCTTCTACTTAAGGGCAAATTCTTCAAGTAACAGTTCTGCATCCACTATAGATTCAATCTTGCATTTCACTTAAGAGTCATATCCTGCTACTCTTCAGTATCATCTTCGGGGAGCTTAGGCCCCACTGCTTCCAGTTATGTTAGCAACCCAGGCACAAGTGGTTTTTTGTAGCTGTAAAAATTTCTCTTTATGAAACTATGACAGCAAAAGTTTGCAGCTAGACAGGATCATCAAGGCAAAATACTATGTATTGATTACCCACAGACTGAAAAGAAGAATAAAAGACTGCAAGTTTCTCTAACCCAGCTTTCTCTATGGGGGGCATGGGGGAAAAAAAAAAAAAAAAAAAGGAAATCAGCCCCCCTGCAAAACTTCCCTGGGGTTTCTAAGTTTGTCAGCTGTCTGACACACTGGGAGGTCTCTGATCTCTCATTCAACAGGCTATTCCTATCCTGGCATCTCTGAAATTTTTGGTTCTTTCTTGTGGTTCATTCTTTAGGTTGTCTGTCAAAAGCAGTAAGCAGCTGTAATTAAACATGTTCTTACAGAACTCCATATTATTGCATCAAAAAAGACTTTATTTTCTACACGACTTTCCCCTCTGTTCCAGAGACAAATGTACATATCCAATTAGCCTTCAGTTCATTGATTCAGCTAGAACAGGAGATGTAAATCCCTACTTTGTCTACAAATGAATGAGATCCTTGAAGAAGAGCAGGTCTATAAAGATATTGGATCAACATCAGGAAAAGGAATTTGAATGTTAAAAATTATTAACAAATGAATAAAGACCCCAAAACATCAATATGCCACTGTATAAATCCATAGTTTGCCTATACATTGAATGCTCTATGCATTTTCCCATCTTAAAAACTCTGTATCTGGCTTGGGAAAAGGTACAGCCCAAATCCGAGCAAAGGTATGAACTAGCTTCCATGCAAGCAATTATTGAACAGATTAAGGTTATTCAGCCTGGAAAGGAATATGGTGGAAGATTACTAACAGCATCAAGGAGATAAACAGGGGATAACAGTTGTTCTCAGATTCAAGGACTTGGAACATGAACTGAAATTATTAAGTAGGAGTTTCAAAATGAAGGTTCATAGTTTCATTTGACAAACATTTCTACAGTTTAACTGTGCCTTAACTATGTATTCTGAAAATTTACATGGGCTCAAAAAGTATTTAAGAAATTCACGGAGGAGCAATCCATTGACGACTTATTAAACACAAAATCACCACTTTTGGCTCACAAATGGCTAAGTCACAGATCAGGAAATACTAAGAGAGCATTCAGGGGAAGTATCGCTCTATGCTTACTTGTTCTTGCATTCTTCCCTAGGCAGCTGCTGCTGGTGACAACATACTGTGCCAGATGGACCTTTGGCAATTCTTAGCTGGTCAGGCACATCCACATACTACTACACATGTACAGATAACGCTGTTTAGCATACTGATTGGGATACTGCTGGCACAAAAATATGAAGCTTGGACCTTAAAGAAGTTTCATATTATTTTGTAATTTATCAGTCTTTAAAAAAAAAAAACAACAAAACTTTTTGTTATTGTTTCACAAGAAGGAAAAAAGTTGTTTCCCACCAAGTTCTGTTAACTGTTACTGCTGCATAGTTTAACTTACTTTCCTTTTGACATAGCAGTTCTGCTAATCAGTAATAGTTCCAAAATAGTTCCAAATAATAGTAATAGTAAATAGTTCCAAAACGTGAATAATTTTTAAAGAAAAAAAGCAAGAAACCTCTCCGCCAATTAAAGTACTTTTTCCTTCTACTCATTTGAAACATTAGGATTTTCTACCAGCTGATATTTTGCCATGCTGCATCACTGTCATATGATAAATTCAATCAAGGGCACACAATAGCTACTTTAAAGGCTAACACCCTGGGCAGCTGAAGTAGCTAAAAGTTAGATCAACATAAGGATCTGCCTTGCAAAAGTCACTGCCTCCAGAACATAAGCAAACTGCATGCACAATCCAAAAGACATAAATTTTTGCCTTTTATTATTTCAACACAGCCTTTTTGTACTGCTTTGTTAAATTCATAGGTGAATTAACACATCAAATCGAAAGAGCATTTTTGTCTGACCAAGGCCTGTCTAGGTATCATTTTTCACAACCAGGAATATGTCATTAAGCAGACAGAGCATTAACCACATTCCACAGTGCACTGCAATATACAAGAAATACCCTTCTGTACTGGAATCAAATTATTATCTTGCTGACACCAGGAAACCTCTGGTGAAGCACAGTAAAGTTTACCTTTGGAAGGAAATAATATGAACCTTAGGCTTTCCTAGGTATTTCAAGCTGACATCTTTTTTCAGGGCTTTATGACAGGACATTTGTTAGTACAGCAACATACAGATAGTCTAATTGATGAGGTTTCCTCATGGTTTTAAACTACGCTTTTTAGAAATTCAGTTTGTCTTAAATTGGTAAATTCCGTACTTGGAAATTCAGAGTTCCTCATCCTTGAAGAGCAATCATATACTTTCTTATATAAGCATTAAAGACCTCTAAAAGCACAGCTGAAAGTTACTGTCTGTCTTACTGATGAAAGACGAAGGAAATATCCTTCATGGTTGATGTAACGTTATACAGTGTACTTGCATGCCTGTATCTTTATTTTACTCTAACAATTATGGATTTCCCATCTTAATTTTGTACATGTGATCATTTTTCAGGAAGCTTACGTCTGTGTTTCCTAGGCTGGTAGGTGCCTCTCCAGAGCGTTCATAAGGGAGCAAGTGACAAGGACAAAGTGAAAGGTTAAGAGCTAGTTAGCTTACAGAACCAGAATGAATACAAGTCAAGTCAAGATGGTGCTTTACCCAGGCTGTTTGGGATGGAGCATGTAAATAACGGTTTAATTGAAAGGAACAGTACAGACAAGACAGCATGGGAAGTTCTCATATAAAGACAACTATCATTAAAACTGAGCCTTCAGCAGTCTAAGGAACTGTTCAATATTACAAAGCATTTATGTGAACTCTGTTCCCTCCTGAAATATCACCACTGTATTTACTTTCACAAAGACTTGTGTTTTACTTTTTAACTGTGAGAATTTTAATCAATAAACAGAAAATTTGAGGAATGTTGTATCTATAAAAAAATTATTTCTACTAATAAGCTTTTGTTTATGGAAAACTGTTTACAGATACAGTTTTCAACTAAAGAGTTTAACATTTAAAACATTTAACTGAACAGGCTTTATATCCAAATAAAAACATACTGAAGTCTCTTTCCTGAACTAGTTGAAGTCATACATATTCACTAATTGCTGGAAGGGATCCTCAGCTCAATCCAGATTTAAGTCATACTTAAAAATCTCACTCTGCAAAGCATGGTAACTTGAAACTTCCACTAATTTGATCATCACAAAAAGATGTCAAACATCTTGCAGAATTGAGTAGGATGTTTTTATTTCAAAAAGTATCAGCATTAACTTCAATTGCTTTATTCACATGTCTCAGATGAGATGTATGAGATAAAAAAATTTTTAAAAGTGTCACAGGAGTACAACGATTTGCATAAAATTTATTTACTCCTCAATAATCCAAAAGGCTATACAAATTAGCGTGTAGGGCACAGGATTTCCCACTGCATTAGTTTGACTGTATCCCATCTGGATTATTTACTGCATTACCTTTTAAATGTTCCATCTAATTAAAGATGCCTAGATACTATGCTGTTTGTTATTATACTGTCTTTGAATGATGTACAGAAAGAAGGTAGTAAAAATATTAAAGGTAGTAAAATACAGAATTTCACAAAAAGTTAGACACAGTTTAAGAATTAAAGTGTGGATTTTATTATAGCTTTGCCATTATATTAGTGGATGGCACGTGTTCAGATCCACAAAAGGTAAGCACTCAGTTCCTTGAGATCACAATGCTACTAAGGTTCTTAAAATGAGTCTGTGGATCCGAGCCACTGTTTAAACAGAAATTTTCCCAGTAGAGGAGCTATTCTTTCAAATTCATTATTTTGTAATTGGTTGAAGGTGTGTGCTCATGAAGATTAAAATCTAAGCACATTAAAAACTTGAAGTTCTTGGGGTGTTAGCCATACAATAAGCTGCAAATGTTCAGTCTTACATGCCATTGCAGTACAAACCTTTGGCTAAAGCAAGCCAGCCAGTCTAAATAGGTGGAGAGTACCAACAACCCAACTGCTCACAGAAAGCTGCTGAAGCTTATGGAAAGATTTACTAGTTAAAGTGAGGGATAACTGGAAGGTTTCTAAAGGGCACAAATGTATCACAATAACAAGAGTTTACGAATGATTCACATGTACCCATATAACAAAGAATATTATTTCTATGCGGTTTTGTCAATATGAGCTTTTGAAGGGAATGGCACTGTTATTGTGGAGATAGCTTCATTTGTTGAGCGCTTACATTGATCATACTATTTCTAGTACTTTGAGATATTGCTTTAGATTACAAAGGATGCAGTCTTCCCTTGGGAAGATTTTCTTTAGTCCAGGGTTGCCCCAAATGAAAATTGCTTGCTTACTCCTTTGTGGAAAAGCACAGTATAACTCTAAGACTTTACTATGTACTACAGTAAACACTGGAGAAGTCATTTTATTCCTGTTCACGTTAGAGGCAATTTGGCAATTAGTTTTTATGGAAGAAACTTGATACCTTCATTTTACCTTTGCCAGTCATGGTAAAGGAGAAAGATGTAGGAATTATAGGAAGAAAATCTTGAAGGAAATAAATGAACGCACAAAGAATGACTTAAGCTGATTTATGTAGATGAATGAAAGAAAATAGTACTACCTTTGATGAGACTATTCGGTTATCTGGAAATCTCTGTGGAATGTATGCTTCAGTGCCTGGAGGTGGTTCACGATGCCCAACATAAATAGTCCGACTGTCCACCCAATTCTCTTCTCCAGCACACTATGGGGGGAAAAACAATCATGTCAGTTCACTCATTATTTCTGCAGTAAGACGAGTCACACACCGAATTAACTAATCACATGTCCGATCATCAACACATACATATCCATAAGCGCGTGACCCCTCACACTTCTCTGTATAATCTCAAGACCACTAAAACTAAGTCAATTGCCAAAACCCTGCCTCAATTGCACTGCACTTTCCCTTCGGACAGGCTGAGAGAGTTGGGGTTGTTCAGCCTGCAGAAGAGAAGGCTCCAGGGAGACCTTAGAGGAGCTTTCCAGTAGTTAAAGGGGACCTACAAGAAAGCCAGAGAGGGACTACTCAGAAGGGCATATAGTGATAGGACAAGGGGTAACGGCTTTAAACCGAAAGAGGGAAGATTCAGGTTAGATGTAAGGAAGAAATTCTTTCCTCCAAGGGTGGTGAGGCGCTGGAACAGGTTGCCCAGAGAAGCTGTGGATGCCCCATCCCTGGCAGTGTTCAAGGTTGGATGGGGCTTGGAGCAACCTGATCTAGTGGAAGGTGTCCCTGCCCGTGGAGGGGCAGGTGGAACTAGATGATCTTTAAGGTCCCTTCCAACCCAAACCATTCTGTGATTCTACGAATAAAAGGGAATCCATGAAAACTACTATTCTGACTTTTTTGTTTTCTAACTGAAAGAAGAAAAATGGCTTAAGATTCTCTCAGTCAAATTAGATATTTAGTAAGTGTTTACGCAGTTACTACTCATTTTACCACTGATAAGAGTCAGTGGTAATAAAAACGTTTATATATATATAACAAATTCATCTCATTTTTAAGCCATAGCCAGCCATAACTTGATATTTTATTTGAAGCAAAGTGAAAGTCTGTGTTCTCTGAAATACTAGTAATAACAGTTTTCCCAGACACAAACAAGCTTAGGGACTCTTAGATTGCCAGGAAAAGACCTCAGCTTTTCAACTCAGATCCCTTGATCTTTAATGAAAGCTGTGTCTGCAAGTAGAAGAAAAAAGTAGGTGAGCCAAAGTAAAATGTTCATATATTCACATCACGAAATTCCACCACAGATACAAATTGTCCAAAATCAGCACTTTTATGCTGTCAATTCACTGTAAAAAAAAAAGTACAAATCACTGTAGAAAAGTATTTACGTAAAAACAGAAGAATCAAATTTTTTTTATTATTTCAAAATATTTTTTTAGGGACTTGGATTACAAAATGCTCATCCCTTAGTCAACAGTCTTCTATTTTTCATATGGTAGATGGGAATTAATTTCTCAAGTACAGAACACATTCCTAATACTTTGTCCCACATAGAGAAGCCCAGGCATCAGCTCTTTTAACATCATCATTAGGTCAAGTCAGGAGTAATTTAAATATTAAAATATGTAATCAGTTTAAACTCAAAAACTCTGCTTTATGTTGTAATGATGCATTTACATATACTTCCATTAAGTATGTTACAGAAAACAAGCTTCCATATACCTTCAACAGCTACATCTATTTAGTATATTAAGTATGTCCTCAAAGTGCTCCTGGGCACTGGTGCTTGATTGTCTGTCTCTAAGGGCAAACTGTCAGACAGATACTTAGCAAACTAAAACCAAACAAATACCAGGAGCAGTTTGGTAGTTAACACAGCCAAAGCATCACTCCCCAAAACAGCTGCATGGAGCTGTGCAGTTCTTGAAAATAAAAGAGTTTAATCACATAGACGTGGTATCTTCTTTTCTAGCTAGTCTTGCTGTCAATAGTTCTGGGCCCACTTACTTTACCAGTACAGACATGGTTAATAAGTCTAAAATAAAATTTAGTTCTCAAACTTAAAAAAACATTCACCCTAATATTTCCTTCATTGGTTCGTTTCTGTATGATTATTCCACTGCCTTAAGTGCAACATAGGCAAAGAACAAACATTCAACATAAATTATTGTTGAAATATACATATAAAATCTTGCAATACTCTGAAAACCTGGAGCAGTTAAGCTTATAAAATAATTACCTATGCAACATGCATGACTTTCTTGGGGGTGGGCAAGAACATCAAAACTAGCGAAAGAAAGCCTATTGAACTCAGACTACCTACCACAAAATAGCTGAGTAGTCATGACGTAAAATGTAAAGTGAAGAGGCCTAAAAAAAAGCAATTTCCGCTGTCCGAGACATTTATACTAGAACTAATTAAATTCTTGCACATTACAGGAAAATGAAGGCGTTATGTTCAGAAGCTACCAAAGGCCAAAATTACAAAACTAGGCATAAAACTAAAAATAAAAGTAACCCCAAAGTTCTTAGCCATTTTAATATGTTATTCAATCTTCAATAACTTGAAAGGGTCACTTTATTATATGAAAACAAACTACTTAAGGAAGTAAAAGCAACAGCCATTCATAAGACATGCCAATAGCACACCTTATGCTAAACTCCGTGACTATCCCTGACTCAGTGGGAGTACGCGTACAACATTTCTCACATGTCAGATCCCTCCAGTATGGGCCTCAAATTAGGACGTGGGTTAGTTTAAAAATTACACTGATTTTCCAGTCAGACAACTCATCCCATATCACTGATAGGACTTGTCACAACTCAAAAGCAAACTGCCATTCAGCCTGCTTCTGAAGATCAGGTAGGATTCTTTCAGCAAGCCAAAATATTTTGGAAGGAAGTAAAGCAATGAAAATGTTTCCATATTCCACCTTCCTTCTATGCCAAGAACAAAATGTGGTAACTGTTATCATTTTATTGAAACACAATATACTTTACCTTGTCAGTGCACTTGAATGTACAATGCACACAGATGATTTATTGACACTTGTGCCAAGTAATATTCCTAGAAATGCAAGAGTGTGAGATATTCCCGAGCAGTAGATTAAATTGTACAGTGTTTATTAATTTTTCATTAGGAAGGACATTCCAGACATAAAAGCAACACAAAGATTACTCCTGATACACTCAAGTGCCTGCCTGAGTTCAGAGACGGTCGTATAAAGGGCTAATGGGAATTCAGCACGTGCCTTTGAACATCGAGAAGAAATCCCTCAGCTTCTCCTTCCCTCTACGCAGGCCCAGCCTGACAATTCATCTCTTATATTTATTATGAACCACTCTAAGACAGCTCGACAAGGGTATTATTAGTTAAAAAAAAAAAGTGGGTTTTTTTTAAGTTTCACAGCATAAACTTATCTTTATCATGATGCAGTTAAAGAAGTCCCCTGTGAAATTACCTATCGAGCTAGGAGTACAAGACAGAGCTCTAAACAGCATTCTCCTGAATTACTACCAGTTTTTAAAAGTCCAATGGCCCTGGAGTATTGCGTTAACACCAAGTAAACCAACTTAATGTCACAACTTCGAATTTGTATCCCTAAAGAAAGGCTCTATAAAATTTACTTTAAGAATGGATATAAAATCAAGACAATCTCTTCTGTTAGCTTAATTGGATCTGGTTTTATCATGAATTGATAAATTCATCACAAAAGTACAAAACAATATCTAACTTATTTTTTACTATCTGCTAGCACAGAACATTATATATATATAAAAATAGATAATAGAAATTAAATGCACTTTACTAACTTAATTCAACAGCTTCAAAACCCCAAAACATTCACAGTTCAAGCATAAAAATTTAGCAGGGAAAAGGAAAGGCTATGTTTTTCAGTGTTGTAAGAGTGCAATGCAAAAAGTAGCATGCATTATTCAGTACGACCACAAGGAAACTCACTTGCATGAAGCAGAGAAAGATGCTTTTAGGTAAACAGCACTGTAAGTCAGGACACACGCCACAAAAAAAATCAAAAACACACCGACTGAATGTCTGGTAATGCTAACCTACAAAGCCAAACACATTGATCCAACATTTCTTTTAATGTTCAGGTATTGCACATGAGAGATTATTTACAGAATGACACAAGGGTAACTGAAAAAAGCAATCTGATGCTGCTGCCAGAGCAATGAACTACATTCACTTCTTTTTTTTCCAGTTCTATTACTTAAACCCATTAAGGATATGTCCAAGAAACCATAAATAAACCTTAGCATTATCTGCTTCTATTTATAGTCTAAAGCTCAATGTACCGAGACCTAGTTTTATTGGCACATCAATGAAGAAGCATTACTTAGCTTTTACTCCTTCAAGCAGGGTCAGCAATACAGAACGCAAAGACCAGCAAAAGACTAAATCATCTTTACATAACACTAAATAGAGCCAGTTAACAGGATTATACCTTAATGCATGTATGAGATCAAATACTCATGCAGTATACTTGTTTTTCTGAATCAAACTGAAACTAGCTTGAGATTCACCTTCATGCTACTCTGCTAATTTTTACCTAAATTTAATAAAAATATATTATCTGAAAAGACAAGGGGGTTAGTATTCAACAGGTGACAGTAAAAGGATGATAGGAAGATGCTAGCAGTAGCTCCTAGAAAAGTAACTGACCTTGAAAGACTCCAAGTCTTGACATTTTCCGACTCTCCACTTGAACTAGTAATTTGGGCTTAATTAGTAGCAACAATCTTCAGTTCAAAATTATATTCTCTCTCCAAATAATGTAAACACAAACACTACTAAAATAAGTTAACATGCATTAAGTACAGCTGAAAACTCAGCTAAATCTGCCCTGGCCAGGCTGTGAGTACACTTTATTGAACAATATTCTCTCCTACTTTTTTGCTAAATGCTTTCTCAGAGAGTCATAAATGGACAGCGTACACTAACCACAATTTTGACAGCAATGAATTCTCAGCATCAGCTATAGCCTTGTTCACCCAGGTTCATACCTCAAGCTCTTCCACACAGAAATACTTTACGCCCACAGAGGCAGACTTTGACAACAGCCTGGTGTTTCAATAAAGCATTACTATTTGATCTCAATAAAGCAATTAGCACCATTGTTGAAATTGCACACTGAACACACAGCTGCTCAATCACTTTGGAGTTTTAGGGTAACAGATACTGACAAGCTTTTATCACTCAAAATCCACATAAAGAACTAATGGTGCACAGTGTG